TTAATATAACTAAAACTGGCTGGGCATTTCTGGCGATCAGGGGTGGGGATGTCAAAAATAATCTTAGACTGAACCACAGTTCCCAATACCTGGTTACCTGGCTGCACTCTGCCGTGATAGCTGCAACGTTGTCCTGATTTCTGTGCCCAAAGGAGACTTGTCTAATTAGCGAGAGGAGGAAGCTACACCAGGGCCGAGGGTTATTAGAAATCATGAATCTCCTCTCGCCCTGGCTCTGGGACACCATCAAAGGAAATGCTGCCTCAGCTCCTGCATCCGAGCTCAGCTCAGGGCAAGGCTGGGAGGGAGAGAGTTGTTTTTGGCCTGGTCATCCACCAGCTGCTGCTGAGCAGGCATGTCTCTTCCTGGGAAGAAGGCAAGGGGGGTATGCCAGCAGCCCTGTCCACGGAGTCACCTGGTACATCCCGGTTCATTTCATTTTATCTCATTACTTTCTGAACAGTTTTACTGAGGTATAATTTACATGCCATAAAGTTTATCCATTGTAACTGCACAGTTTGGTGGTTTTTAGAAGCTTTATATGATTGTACAGCCACCACCACACTCCAGTTTTGAAGCTAAATATCACATGATCTCATTATATTTGTGGAATATAATGAATAACATAAACTGTTGAACAAAAATAGAACCAGAGTCATAGAAGCATAGAATAGACTGTCCAATCTATGAGGGAAGGTGGGGGGTGAAGGGGTAAGAGATCAACCAAAGGACATATATGCATGCATGTGAGTATAACCAATGGACACAGATGGGAGTGGGGGGTGAGGGCATGTGCTGGGGTTGGAGGTGGCTGAAGAGAGGTCAATGGGAAAAAAAGGAGAGTTATGTAATACTTTAAACAATAAAAAACTTTAATAAAAAATAATAAAATAAAATATAAAAGTTATAACCAAATTATCCTTTATGATTCCCTAAGACCTTATTAATGTGTATGTATTCAATAAATAAATACTTGACAAATAAAGATTAAATAAATAAAATATATATACTTTTTATTGATTTCACAGAGGAAGGGATAGGGATAGAAACATCAATGATCAGAGAGAATCATTGGACACCCCACACTGGAGATTGAGCCCATAACCCTGGCATGTGCCCTGACCAAGAATTGAACCGTGACTCCCTAGTTCATAGGTCAACACTCAACCATTGAGCCACACCAGCCAGATCACCATAGTCCACTTTTAGAACTCATCCATCAGAAAGTTTCCCCCTGTCTATTTGTAGCTCATCTTATTTCTACCCCATCTGTAGGCAACCAATGATCAATTTTCTGTCCCTTTCGTCTACTTTTTCTAGAAATTTCATTTAACTGGAATCAGACAGCATCTGGTCCTTTGTACCAGGCTTCTTTCACTCAGTATAATGCCTGCTGCTTTGCCACCACTCCCATCCCCTGGTGTATGCACCAGGCCACCTGCTCCTCCTGGAGGATGTCTTGCAATTTTTCTACAATGTCTATGAGGCCATCCATGATATATCAGACACTGTTTGGCCCTGAGGTGGACATTAGAGACTAGTAGAGAGAGATGTTAATTAAACTTACAAATAAATGTATAATATACACTGTGATAATACCTATCACAGGAAAGAGTGCTTTGAGCTCACATAGGTAGTGGATATGATCTGACCTGGGTCAGAGGAAGCTTCAGAGAGGCAGTGACCTCTCAGCTGAGATCTTAGGGATCTGCCTCAGTTATCCTTCCAAAGAAAGAGAATGGTGTCTGAAGCAATGGAAGGTCACATTGTTGGAGCACACTGAGGGGTGCAGTGGGTGGGTAGTTAGGATAGAATCTGGGGGTGTCAGCCTTAGCCTCATCCCTTGGAGGACTGTGACTGGAGCATGAATGCACCTGAGTGTTGTCCCACCTGGAGGCAAGGTGGCTGCAGTGGTCCAGGAAGAGCCTATGGGCTCGTGGGCAGAAGAGATGGAAAGTCGATATTGCTGAATGCGCTTGCTTCTCGCAGTGTAATGGGAGCACGTGTTTTCAGGGGATCATGTTAATAGCACAATGCAGATGTTGATTCACTAGATTTGGGGTGGGGCCAGAGATTCTGCATTGTATCCCATGCCCAGGTGACGCCCATACTGGCAGTCCATGGACCATACCTGGAGTAGCCAGGACCTAGAAGACCTGGTGGTGAATTCAGCAAGGCAGGTGATACCAGATCGATCCCAGGCCTGCAGGAAGGGCAGCTCTGATTTCAGAGAAAGGAGATGCAGCAGCAGAGAGACTAGGCTTGGGAGGCGAGGCCGGGCCTTACTCTGTGGGCAGATGGGAGTGCTGTCTGACTCTGCCACAGAGAATCAGAGAACAGCCAAGTTGGAAAGACCTTAAAAATCACTAGCCTACAATCCCTGAGCAGGAAGGCAGTGGTTTTCAAACTATGCTCTCCAGGTTTCACTGTTCCTGCAGCAGCCTTGTCAGGGTGGGTGCGGGAGTGGGATAGGGCACGAGAAGTGATGGGGTGGCGAGAGCAGGGCTTGGGTCCTTTCAGCCAACATTGTGAAGCTGTTCTGTTTTATACATGGATGAGATATGGTTTATAATCTATTGCTAAAAAAATTAGAAAAGATTGGAGGGGAAATGAAAGGGTCTGGTATCATGTGGTCATCAAGGGAATGTGGCCTGGTTTCTGGTGGTTACAGAAAAGTCTTTCCTCAGCTCTAATAAGTTTGGCTCCAGGTTTCTGCACAAGCTCAGGGGTGCAGGGAGGGTGTGGATAAAGATTCCTCGCCAGCCACAAAATGCTCCTCCCAGCCACGTCTAGGGGGAGGCAAGGGGAGGGAAGTCCCAGGCCAGCTACTGGATTCATGAGTTTTAAGGACTGATGTTTACTTCCAAGGAAATGAAAGCATCCTCCTAATCAATTAAACTCTATCAGTAAAAGTGAGAATACATCTCAAACAGCTGTCTCCTCCAGGAACCTGAAAAGGAACATGCCTGCCCACTGGCAATTGCATTTTGCCCCATCACTGAAGAAAACTTGCGAGATACCCTCCAATGGGAGCAGATGGCCTTGTAAATACACCAGGTGATAGGGGTGGGGAGAAGAGGCAAAGCACAGGGCCCCGACTACTGCCCCTCAACCCTGTCTCAGAGGGACCTGCTAATAACAGCACTCCCTTTCAGGGCCAGGGAGTGTGGCTGACCTAGATGTCTGATTCCTTTCAATTCCACATGGGAGCAAGAATCAGAAGAAATAAGCCCTTTTATCTGGTCTTAATTAAACACGATCTGCATAGAGGGAGCAGCTCGGTACAAGTACAGCAGCCAGCCAGCTGACTCCCAAGTATCATGATGCCAGGAGGAGGATGTCTGATGGCAGGAACTGAGCAGTCAGACCTGCCTATCTTCCATATGAAACCAAGATGGCCTTTCTTCCAGAGTTGCCTTTGTTCACCCTGTTGTTTTAACTATTCACTAGCTTTAACCTGTTCAGGAATTTTATGCAATTACTAGAGGCCCAATGCACAAAATTTATGCACTGGAAGCGGGGAGGGGGAGTCCCTCAGACTGGCCTGTGCCCCCTCCCAGATAGGGAGCCCTTGGGGGATGTCCAACTGATGGCTTAGGCCCACAGTCAGACATCCTTAGCACTCTGGCAGAGGCGGGAGAGGCTCCCACCACTGTCACTGCGCTCGCCAGCTGTGAGCCCAGCTCAGGGCTTCTGGCTGAGTGGCACTCCTCCTGTGGGAGCACACTGACCACCAGGGGGCAACTCTTGTGTTGAGCATCTGCCCCTGGTGATCAGTGCTCATCACAGCGACAGGTCATTCCACTGTTCAGTCTATTTGCATATTAGCCTTTTATTATATAGGATGTACTGTCTTCCCACCTGCATTGTAAGCATCTTGAGTAAAGATCCACTTCTGATAGTTCATATATATCCTTCTTTGAGTCAGTAAGTATTAAAGCATAACAAATGAGCTGCATTGTTTCAAACCCCATGTGATCTCTCTTCTACTAGGTCTTATTTTGTTTTTATTATGAATGTAGCCACACAGCCTTCTTTTCCCTTAATCCTTGGATCTAGGGGAACATCCATACCTCCTTCCCCTGTGTCCTTCTATTCTCTGCTCATTCCCCTTATTGTCTCAAAAGGAAGCCAATCTGAGGTCTGAGTGTAAATTACTAGTAGGCATGCATTACATGTGGGAAGTTTGCTTCATTCAAAATCGCCTGCACATGTGTCTGTCCCCTTTCTTTCTGTCCCAAGTGGGTAATCAGATTCAATCTGGCATGTGGGCCACCTAAACTAATGGTGGGGAGAGAGAAGGTAACTACACTTGAACTTTGAGCTTGCACATGGAAATACAGAAAACTTCCTCAGAGTTTTGCATCAGTGCATATCATCAGATGCATGCCTAATTCCTAACTTTGCTAGGATATGCCCCAAACAGAAGGAATAGCTGATATGACCTTGTCAATTTTGGTCTGGTGCTCTTGCGGGGACAGACTTCCCCTTATACAACTATGCATAGACACTAAAATTATATATGCTTATTTTGTTTTTGTTTCTTTCATTCAAGCTCCCTGTAAATGTTATTGCTGCATCACACCTGGATGTCTGGCATCTCAGAGTGGAGGCAGAGAATGAGAAACATCCCCCTTCCGGGCTACTGTGATCTCACCTCTCCTCAAGAAGTTAAGGTGTCCTCTTACCTGGCTGTGTTTCTCTAAGGCCAAAGGCAAGCCAGCCTCTCAGGACCCTTTAATAAAGGGCTTCTGCAATATTGCTATTAACCCTTGAGAATGCTTTCAAAGTCAGTAATTTGTCTTTTCTGCCAACTTCAAATGTGGCAAATGAGGTCCTGGGAGGGTGATTTTGATTTGGGGCAGTAGACACCCTCTGAGGGTAAAATATGTGAATCAAGAGTATGGCCAGCCCAGGTAATGATATTTGTGGTCAAAACAATGTGTGAATGTAACATGAGGCCTTGAATTTCCTAGTGGGGAAATTCACACACTCTTCACCTGACAATGAAGAGTGCAGAAGATGTCTGGGAAGACAGCAATATTGCTAGAATGAAAGTGTGGCCTCCCAGGATACTGTTGGAAAAGGGCACAGCTCTCCTCAATGAGTACATCTTGAACTGTATGTGAAAATAAACCTCATTATTTACAGCCAGAGACTGTTCCTGAGGCAGAACTGTACTCTGATGCACAGGGTTTTGCTGTCCTCCTCACATACACTACCTTCAGATAATGGACCCCAAAAGCCTAGCTTTTCAATTATCAATTCAACCTCCATTTACCAGTTGTTGGCTACCCACAAAGCATGGCACCTGGTTCTTCCTTGAACACAAGATGCAGCACTTCCTCTCAGAGCCAGTGCTGACTCCCATCTGGCCCAGGTGGGTGGACAATCCCTCCCCAGTGCTCCTGCAGGCCGGCCTATCACACAGCCTTCTGTGTCTGCCTCCCGTTTACTCCCCTTGGCATCCTCAGCACCAGCACTCCTTGGCACTTTATTGGACCTAATTGGACTTGCTGAAGGAATGCTCCATGTCCCGAGTCCGTCAGAGGCTCACATTTGTAGCCCAGCATCATTGGCATCCCAAGAGTTTTTCTATGATACACCATTTCAAATCAGAGCTTGCTTTCTCTGCTTCTGTGATTTTGAGTTTTTTTTAAATTGTATTTGACTTCTACTTTCATACCATTGTGATCAAAGAAGATGCTTGATATAATTTCAATCTTCTTGAATTTATTAAGGGTTACTTATCCTATATCCTAGCATGGTGTCAATCTTATAGAATGCTCCATGTGTATTTGAAAATCTATACTCTACTGCTTAGGGATAAAATGGTCTACAAATCAATGAAGTCCATCTGGTCCAGTGTATCATTTAACGTCACTCTTGCCTTATTTGTCTGAAAGATCTATACATTTATGTCAATGAATATTAAAATCCCCAACTATGACTATATTCTGCTGATCTATCCTTTAATCTATACCAAGATTTTCTTAATATATTTAGGTGTTCCTATGTTTGATGCATATATGTTTACAAAAGTTACATTCTCTTGTTGGGTTGATTCATTATGCAATGTACACCGTTGTCACTTATTTATAGTTTTTGTTTTAAATTCTATTTTTCTGGTTTAAGTATTGCTACCCCAGTGTGTGTGTTTTTTTTTAAATTTCCACGAAATATTTGTTTCCTTTTATTTTCAATCTATATGACTTGGCTCTCATGTAGACATCATATATAAGAGTCATGTTTTCTTATCCATTCAGCTACCCTATGTCTTTTGATTGGAGCACTTAATCCATTTACATCTAAGGTTATTATTGATAGGTACTTTTAATTGCTATTTTATTCTTTATACCTATGTTCCTCTCTTGATTTCTTTCTTTCTTTCTTTTTTTTCCTTTTTTTCTTTCTTCTTCATTGGGCAGGCCCTTTAACATTTCTTCCAATACTGGCTTGGTGGTAATGAAGTTCTTTAGCTATTTTTGTCTAGGAAGTTCTTTATTTTGCCTTCAACTTTAAATGATAGCCTTCCTGGATAGAATAGTCTTGGTTGTAGGTCCTTGCTTTTTATCACTTTAAATATTTATGCTAATCCCTTCTGGGATGAATATTTTTGTTGAGAAATCAGCTGACATGGCAACTCCCTTGTAGGTAACTAATTGTCTTTCTCCTGCTCGTTTTAAGATTTTTTTCTTTAACCTTTGACATTTTCATTATGATGTGTTTTGGTGTGGGTTCATCTTATTTAAGACTCTTTGTACTTTCTGAACTTCTGTGACCTTTTTCTTCATCAGTTTAGGGAAGTTTTCAGCCATTATTTCTTCAAATAAGTTCTCAAAGTCTTGCTCACTCCCTTTTACTTCTGGTACCTGTATATGTGGATGCTGTTACGCTTGATGTTGTCCCAGAAGTACTTTAGACTTTCCTCATTAAAAACACTCTTTTCATTTTGTTGCTCTACTTGGGTGGTTACTGTTGTTTTGTCCTTTTAATAGCTGATTCGATCCTCTGTGTTATCTAGCCTGCTGTGGATTCCTCTGCTTTATCTAACCTGCCATTGGTTCCTTCTAGTGTATTCTTCACTTCAGATATGGTGTGAGTGGTTTGTTTTTTTTAATCGTTTTTGTCCTTTTTAATGCTTACTTTCTCCTTGTTTAAGTTCTCACTGAAATCATCCACTCTTCCCCTAAGTCCTTGAGCATCCTTATAACCATTGTTTTAAGCTCTGCATCTGGTATCTTGATTGCTTCCATTTCATTTAGTGTGTGTGTGTGTGTGTGTGTGTGTGTGTGTGTGTTTTGGGGAGGGTTCTCTTATCCTTTCATTTAGGGCATATTTATTTGTTTCCCTATTTTATCTGCTTTTCTGTGTTTGACTCTGTATTTTAGATAGATCTGCTATGACTTCCAAGTTCGTTATGAGGGCTTTTTGATCTAGGTGCCTATGGATTTCAGTGGCAGAAACTTCTAGATCACCTGAGTGAGGTGCTTCAGAAATGTTTGTATGAGTTATGTATCCTCTTCTGTTGTAGTTGAGTCTTAAATGCTGTTGGCCCGTTCATGGCTGGAGTTAACCTGCAGGCTGGCTGACTATAAGAACAGACCTTGTTCCACGTGTATGAATCACTGTTCAGGGGATGCACCCTGAGATGGAATTATTCCTGGCAGGTTCTGGTGCCTGCTCAGAGTCCCCATTTGGCTGTGTCACTTGTGTGGCTAGTTGGGTCATGTTCTAATGAGGTTTGAAGCCCACCACTGATTGTGTTGGGTCTAAGCCCACTTGGACGAGGTTCTGGTGCAGGCCAGTGTCAGATGTTGTGTGTAAATGGCCTTGAGCTATCTGTCTGGGCTACCACACTGTTCATTGACTGTGGCTGTATCTACAGGGCCTGGGTGTACATGGGAGGGGCCAAGCTATGCACAAGGGTCAGCTTCCTGCAGCTCTGTATTGGGGGCAGATTAATAAAAGGTCCAAGGATCTCTGAAGTTGGCATCTACCTGTTGGCTATTTCCCTACTCCTTGAGGTTGCCTGGACTTCCTCCAGAACCTTTTGAAGAAAGACTGTACAGTGGGCCCAAGCTGGATGCACCCCACCGCCCCTTCTATAAGGCACAAACTTGGTTGGGTGGGGTGACCAGATGGGGAAGACAAGACTAGTGGATCCCCCACTTGGAGGCAGTGTGGTCAGGCACTCCATGGGGAGAAGGTGGTCCCTACTCAGTCTCTGCTAGAGTCTCCAACTCTGACTCCCCCAGGAGGAGTGCACTGCTGGTTTAGATTAGGTGTAGTCAGTTGTCCCCACTCCAGGAACAAGCTCAGCAGGGCAGGGCCACTGGGACTTGTGAAAACAGAACAAGACAGTCCTCCATTGGGGTGGCACCAGCCACGCCCTCTGGAGGGGAGTGTGTTCTATGCCTCCCCTTAGCAGCATAGCCATACCTGTTCAAACCCCCAACTGAAGCCTTTTAGGGAGATTCTGAAGGTCCCAGCTCTGAGTGGACTTTCCTTTCTCCTATGGATCTAAGCTCAGCAGGGCAAGGCCATGGGGATTTGGGAAGACAGAACAAACAGTCTCCTATTGGGGCAGGGGGGTGCTGGCTGAGCCTTTAGGTGTGTGTGTATGAAAGGGGGGGAGGAAGATGGGTGGTGGAGGAGGGTGGGAGACACTAGCCATTGTTACAAAGCCTTGCAGTTATATGTCTGTCTGAGTGTCTGCCTACAGTTTCTTCAGCAAAAGAGCCCAACAAAGATCCCTGTTAGGTGCAGCCAACAGTCCTTTCTGTTGGAGTCAAGCTTGGCATGGTAGTATTGTCAGTATTTGGAGGACTGAGTTAGTGCACTCCACAGGCTTACACTATAAGTATAGAAATGTCTGACCCTGGGGAGATGGTCTTTGCGGGCAGTGTGGCATAGTGACTCAGGATCAGGACCTCAGTAGCTGCCTCTCCAGATCACTCTTCAGGGCCAGGCTACCCAGGTCTTCTCTTTATGACTCCACATCCCCTGAGTCGCCTTCCCTCTACTGGAGCCCTGGGTGAGTGCCTGACAGCAAGCTCCTGTATGTTGGCCTTTTAGGAGAGCACCTGGGATCCTAGCAGACTCCCTGCTCTTCCTGGTGGACTGAGTCCCAGCTGATTTTCACTGCCAGATGCTATGTAGGCTCCACTTCCTGGCCCTGGGACTCTGGTTGGGGGTCCCATTATGGGGTTAAGACCCTACACTCCCCAGGGGTGACTTTTGCAGCTGAGATATTTCTCTGGCTTATCAGCTGCCACACATGAGTGCCGGCTCCAGCCCTCTCTGCATCTCCTCCCTTCTTACCAGGCTCTATGTAGCTTCTGTAAGTCCCTGGATACAATAGTCCTGTTCAGCTGTCCCTCGGTTAGTCATTCAGGGTGATTGCTCTATAATTTAGCTGTAAATCCAATTTGGAACCAGGAGGTGAGTGTGGTTTCTACCTACTCTACAGTCATCTTAAAACTCTCTCTGAGTGTTGCCTCTTAACACTGCCTCCCTGCATTTCTCCCCTCTGACTTCACTTTCTGGTCTGGCTTCAGGTCGACCCAACTAATTAATTTGATAATGCTTTGCCAGGTGGGAATCCCTCGATTTTCATATGGAATCGCCACTGGTTAGGATCCCTGCCAGACTGCAACTCTTAGAAGGTAGAAGTGGAGGCTTTTTCCTCATCCTGATCACTATTCCCCTTCTAGACAGACCTGGTAACCTGCATGCAGTAGGAGCATCAAAATGCACAATAAAGAGTTGATTACAGCTGATGACTTGCAAATGAGGAGAATATGGGAGAAGAGGGCCTGGGATAGATCAGCCACATACAGTTCCCATTTCATAGGTGTGCTTGCTAAAGGTCCCAACTGGTTAACATGTCCCCCAAACTCCCCTTTATTTAAATAGTGCTAAAATAGCTTAGATCTTTGGTGATATTTTTATATTTTAATGGGGACATTCTGAAAATAATGACTTAGTTCCCTAGAAATGACTTTTCTAAGGAATGAGACTACACATCCTAAGACTAATATTGAGATAGGAGGAGTCTGTGATTTCCGGTGTATGGGGTGGAGGGATGTCCCACATCCTTGGATTACACCTCCAAAT